GGTCACCAAGAAGCCTAGGAATTTGCCAGATCCTACACCGAACGCGCACTTTGATGCATTAAGGCGCAACTTGTGTTTCTTCAGAATCTGGAACATCTCACCTAGGTCCCTTAGATGGCCGTTCTCGTCCTTGCTTTTGACCACCATGTCGTCGATGTAAGCCTCCATTGTTCTGCCTAACAATGGTTCAAACATCTTGGTGACCATTCTCTGGAATGTTGCCCCTGCGTTCTTTAGGCCAAAGGGCATGACTTTATAGCAATACAGTCCTCTTGGGGTGGTAAAGGACGTGACCTCCTGGTCTGGTTCGTACATGGCAATCTGATGGTAGCCTCTGTATGCATCCAGAGAGCTAAGCCGGTTGTGCCCCGCTGTTAGGTCTACTAATTGATCTATCCGTGGTAGGGGGAAGCTGTCCTTTGGGCATGCTTTGTTGACTGTCTTATAGTTGACGCAGACACGCCATTTGCCATTCTTCTCTGGTACCACGACTGTGTTGGAAATCCATCTGGGGTAGTGCACCTCTCTGATAGCTCCTGCCTCTAACAGATTTCCCACATCTTCTGCCACTATCTCGGCGTGGTGGAGTGCCGATCTGCGAGTGCGCTGAATGATTGGTCTGGCAGATGGGTGGACATTGAGTTGGTGACAGATGAAATTTTGATCAATGCCTGGCATGTCGTAGGGCGTCCAGTCGAACACTTCAATGTTAGAGGTTAAGAATTCCAAGACCTCTAATCTCTCAGTGCTGGACAACGACGAACCAAGCAAAAAGAACTTATCCGGGTTCTTTTCATCTATTATTACCTCTACCAAATCTTCCACCGCTTTTTGATCAGCTGCTCTGCCGACATCTGCGAACAGTTCATTACTCTCAGGTTCTTCCACCGAATGAACATATCCCTTGGCAACGCGGCTACCATTAGCCGTGACAAAGCATTGCTTGGACATAATCTGGTCCCCAAAGACCTCTTCAATTACTCCAGTTCCGTTGGGGAACCGCATTACTTGATGGTAGGATGATGCTACTGATTTCATGGCTTGGAGCCATGTTCTTCCCAAGATTATGTTGTAAGTGGAAGGGACTTTCAATACCCAAAATTCCACTTGTTTTGTCACGCTTCCTGCCCTGACTGGAAGAATGATTTTGCCGACTGGTCATTCTGGCATTGAGTTGAATCCAATCAGGGGGGATACAGCTGGTGCCAGGTCTTTGTCCTCCAATTTCAGTTGTTTGAAGGTGTCGTAGTACATTATCTCACACGAGCTACCTTGGTCTATCAGAATTCGCTGACGTCATAGTCTTTGATGCGGAGGGTGACGACTAGTGCATCGTTGTGAGGGCAATATATTTTCTCCAAGTCCTTGTCTGAAAAAGACATGATGTTTGTGGCCTCTGTTCTCCCCTTTTTGATGGTAGGTTGGGCACTTAGTACCTCCCTTAAGTGCTCAGCCTTCTTGATCGATTCTCTGAGCTCGTATATACGCTCAGGTTCGAATACCCCATGTATTACATTGATCACACCTTGAGGTGGGGCGTCAATTGGCATTCCATTGGGGTTATTGTGGGTCCTGGGGGGCTGGTTGCGTCCCTCCTTCAATGTATTTATCTAAGTGACCGGCTGCCACCAACTCCTCCAGATGCTGTTTCAATGGCTAGGGCTGAGCAAGGAATCCGTGAAATCCGTAATCCGATCCAGTCCAGTCCAATCCGATAGGTTTGGATTGGTTTTTTGAATCCGTCTTAGCTGGCCATCTGACGAAAGGTTCATCGCGTATTTCACTCAGAATCCGATAGATCGGCTTCTTGAATACCGTGGTTATGGCAGTACGGATTCTCAACCATTTTTTATCCTGGTTTTCTCCGTTGTCCCGCCTGCCTCGTCCGTTTTTGTTTGGACGTTCTACCGCGTTGATCTTTGCTGTGGTCTTTTTATCTGGTACAGTAGTCGTGCCAGATTTTGCCTTAGCACGGGCGCCATCCTCTTCCACCCTGATGTGCTGATGCACTCTTTCCATCAAGGACTCTATGGTGAGGGGCGGTGTCATGGTGATTGAGTCCCTTAGTCTGTTTCCGACTGGAAGGCCTCTTTTGTACTGTGCAATGGCGAGATTGGTGGGACAGTCCCCAATCTGGTTGAATGTCTCCCAGTAACGACTATTGTAGGATCTTAGTGTTCTCCTTTTTGCTCATGTCGATGGAGAGTAACTGGTCAATTCTCCACCAGGGTTTTGGTGTTTGTTCTGAACCTTGTGACGAACGCCTCTGCCAATTGTGCCCAGGAGGCTATGCTGCCTTTTGGAAGTTTTTCGAACCAAGTTAAACCTAGATCACCAAGGCTTGATGGGAAGATGATGCACATCAAAGCCTCGTTTCGCCGATATACCGCCATAACCTGGCGGAAGTGGCTTAGGTGTATATAGGGGTCTGTCTTCCCCTCGTACGTGGTGAATTTGGGCTGAAGGAAGCCTGAAGGTAGGGGCGCGTTTTCTATTGCCGGAACGAACGACGAGGTCTGCAGCCTTGCTAATGCTTTGTCCGTTGGTTCGTAGGCAGGGTGCGGTAATGACATTCCAACCTTGACGCTTCCATGCGTCCGAGGAGCCAACCACTGAAGGGCAGATACCCTGCGAGGGTCGCGCGCCCTAGTATCTTCTTTCAAACGTGCCCTTTCTTCTAGCATGATCCGCAAATCGGATGATTTGGGCAACTCCGTTTGCCTGGATGATGTGGTGCGAGCGCGAGGGTTGATAGGTACTTCCCTCTGTGTAAGACCTCAATGATCTCGTTCTCTCAGACCTGGAGAAACGAGCTCTGGAGGTTCTGGATTGAGTATCGCCTGTCCCGAGGCTCCTACTTTCTGCTTGTGATGGTGTGCAATACCTTCCACGGTCTTCTGAGCGGCGAGGGGGCGTTTTGCTTTTGCACTCCTCTCCTGTCGCCACTCCTTTTCCCTTTATCTGGCGCTTTATGGCCTCCATGTCCGCCGCCATCTGCCTTATTAATTCATCTTGCTCCTTTACGCGGTCCTCCAGAACTTGAGGATCAATCCTCCGCCTTTGTCTGTCAGGACTTCGTGAACGAGAGTGACGGGGGCTGTTAGTCCGCCTCCTCCCCCTTGTATCCCTCCTGGGATTTTGTCGCTGTGGCTCCAAGTCCGCCATGGGAGGGATAGAAGGTAAGCCTTCGCGCCTTGCACCCCCTTTTTTTCTAGCATGATCCGCAAATCGGATGATTTGGGCAACTCCGTTTGCCTGGATGATGTCTGGTGCGAGCGCGAGGGTTGATAGGTACTTCCTTCTGTGTAAGACCTCAATGATCTCGTTCTCTCAGACCTGGAGAAATGAGCTCTGGAGGTTCTGGATTGAGTATCGCCTGTCCTGAGGCTCCTACTTTCTGCTTGTGATGGTGTGGAATACCTTCCACGGTCTTCTGAGCGGCGATGGGGCGTTTTGCTTTTGCGTCCCTCTCCTGTCGCCACTCTTTTTCCCTTTATCTGGCGCTTCATGGCCTCCATGTCCGCCGCCATCTGCCTTATTAATTCATCTTGCTCCTTTACGCGGTCCTCCAGAACTTGAGGATCAATCCTCCGCCTTTGTCTGTCAGGACTTCGTGAACGAGAGTGACGGGGGCTGTTAGTCCGCCTCCTCCCCCTTGTATCCCTCCTGGGATTTTGTCGCTGTGGCTCCAAGTCCGCCATGGGAGGGATAGAAGGTAGGCCTTCGCGCCTTGCATCCCCCTCTGGTGTTTGTCCGTCGATGGCGGAATGCAGTAAATCTTCGTTGTGCGCCATTGCTTCTATAAAGGAGAAGCTTGATCAAGAGGTTTTGTTCTTGTCTGACTTCCCACAGATGGCGCCAATTGTACGGGAAAGAAATAAACCTTCTTGTATAATCCTACTGATCAAGTCTGCGCGTCTCCAAAGGTCGTTGCTTTACTTCCTGAAAACAGAAACGTGAGCTAGTCGGCGGGTGTGTGCCGGAAACCCCTCCGATGCCTAAGTCAGCAAAATAGACAAGTAGACAAAAAGCTCTGTGTATCAAAGTTGTGTGTTACCTCCCCATAGGTGATATTTGTGAGCTTTTATAGGTTCCGTGTGGCACAACCCAAGTAGGACTCTTACTCTTCTATGTAGAGTCCTCTTAGGATTCATACTCCTGAAAGATAATGCTTATCCTTCAACACCCTCCTCACTGCTTAAATCAAGTGAGATGGTTTTACCATGGTCGGATTCCACTATGACCGAGGTAAGCATGGCTTATGCTAAGCCGCAGACTAGACTGAGCTAACTTTAGTTCGGCTCTTCTATTCATTGCTCTTACCCAGGTTTCTCCTAGCGCCAACCATGGTGTTATCAGACCGAGCTATCAAAAGCAAGGTTCTAGCCGAGATAACCTCGATAAGCCAAGACCGGGCTAACTTCGAGTACGGCAACCGAGCTATGTTCAAAGCTTCCTTTAGAGCGGAGTAACCTCAAGATTCTTTCAGACCGGAGTAACTTTATACCTCTCTTGGGCCGGAGTAACTTTACACCTCTCTTGGGCCGGAGTAACTTCATGGCCTCTCCTGGGCCGGAGTAACTTCATGGCCTTTTTATCCAGTCCTTCGTAACGTGGCCCGTAACGGCCCATTACCCAGCTCGGCCTAATTTATAAGTATCAATTACCCTCTCAGCTTACATGTTTGCTTATGTCTCAGAAGAACGCAAACTGAATTTTTCACTAACATGTCGGATACTGAAGTCCTAAAGGCTAATACAGTCAATGATTTAACCTCAGATCAATCTATGTCATCATGTAATGAATAATATTGCAACCCCAAGAACCATTTAAGTATAATGCAGTAGTATACAAACTAAAAACAACTCTTCCTGAGTATGCATTGATTAGTTTCGTGTTAAAATAAAAAAAAATATCACAAGTAAACTACACACACAAAGATAAAGGGTTATCTTATAATATGGTATTATAACTGCTACACAAAGGCATGAAAATCTAACCATGTAAATGATCCTCCAATGATCCCAATGGCATAAACTCATAAACGAGGAGCCGCTGGTCCCCATCAGCACAATAGCCTATCAAATTGACGAGGTTCTCATGGTGCAAGAGGCTAAGCATAAGAACCTCCACCAAAAACTCTCTGTTTCCTTGAAGGCCATTTCGATCAAGCTGTTTCACAGCAACTACCTGCAAATATCATTATCTCAAACAACCAAACATCATTAAAGTGAAAACTGGACATGTTTAATATCACACTTATATTTTACAAATGGAAAGTTTGGAGGTAAAATCTTCAAAAATTGTGGGAGTTCTTGTGATACTTCATATCTAAATCCTAAAATATTGTACAGAGAAAAGCAAAACGGAATAGAAATGTTGTAGTGGTCATGACATCAGTGTTCAATCAATCAAAACTGACCTGCCCTGTGGTCTCTAAGCGCCCCTTGTAAACACGTCCGAACCCACCTTCACCCAGAAGACACTCTGGCCTAAAATTTTTTGTGGCAGTTGCTAGCTCACGAAATGTAAATGTCTGTGCAGCGATATGTGCTGTTGGTCCAGCTTTTTGAACTGCTGGTTCTTTTTTAGGATCCTTCTTGGAATCAGAACCACTCCGCAGCTTTGACTTGTCTAGAAAAATAAGAGAATCAGATACAGTGTAAGGGACAAACAATGAACAAAGATATAACTATCTTCTTGTTATACACCAAATAGAATGCAATCATAAGTACAAAGTATAATCCTACTCATTTGGAATTTTTAATTGCCTTTGCATTAAAGGTTACTTGATCTTGATACTTTTACACGAAATTGGCCATATGCCAAACAACATTTTACCACTAGCTATATGCCAACTTTCAATTCCGGCTTACTTAGGCATTAGGTCCAAATTGTCCTTTTTAAGGCACTCATAAACATCCATTTTGTTGTAACTTGGCAACTAGTAAACAAATAGAAAATTTCACTATATGAAAGCAAAATGTATGGAAATCCAAAAACTAGCAGATCTCCAAAACACTTCCCTCAAACACAACACATCAGTGATCAATCAAATAGCAAGAACCACAAACAAATCCACAGACCAACAAGGAAAAAAAAAAAAAAAAAAAAAACCCCTAGAAAACCCAATTCAGGAAACACCCAATGAAACAAACAGTCATGGATGAATCAGATCAAACTAACAGAAAATTCTAACAACCACCCGGCATCCATATATCATCAACGAAACAAAATTCAACAAACCTAAAGCATACAAACTAGTCCAAACAATCAAGAAACACAAAACCCAATAAAACCCATCAGCAAATATTTCCAAGAAAGCAATTTTCAAAAACAAGAACAGAGAGAATAGGCGTTTACCTGAACTAACCCTGCTCACATGTTGAGACTGAGCAGTTGAAGCTTCCTTTTCAGAATCCTTCTTTGCCACTTCTTTCACACCATTCCCATCCTTGTTTGATGATCCAAAGCATTCAAAACACCCACCCATATCAAATCCTCACAAATCAAAGAGACAACCGAACCCCCAAAATATATACTCAACCCTTCCAACAATCACTTCTCATCATCATCATCTCACAAACTCATCTTCCAAAAATGAAAAAATCCCAATCAATCACTCCTTTCTTTGTCTAGAATCCAAACTGAAAAATTTTCAGCCATTAGTCACTTATCAGTGAACTCAATTAGCTCAAGAACAAAGATCAACAACCCTTTTTTTTCTTTCTTTTCTTGTATGAGAAAGCAGATCACCAAATCGAAGAATTTGATGGGTTGAATAGAAGGTAAAGAAACGCTGAAAAAATATTCAGACATAAAAAAAAATAAAAAAAAAATACTATAATATTACATTATATATATGTCTGAGAATTTACATGTATGGAAATACATAGAAATATGGGGTGAAAGTGAAATAAGTGTTAAAGTTTTGGGGGTAAAAGATAATTAAGTGAATGTCTTCTTGGAATCTACGGAAATGCCACTTTGCTTTTTGGGTGTTCTCACCTTTTCTCTTTTGCTTTATAGCCCCTAAAATACGGAGAAATTACGGCTTTGGATTGAAAAAAAAAAAAGCATCAACACGGTCGGAGAGAGGTTATGTCCCACTCTAACACTTTGTCATTGACATTTTTTAACACGTTTTAAAAATTTAAATAAATACTTTGTAAGAGTGTAGTAAAAGATGACCTACGGTTGAGATTTCTGGGTTTTGAGTGATCATATGGCTTTGGACCGTTTGATGGGATGGTGATGATGGGAGGTGGGTAAAAAGTTGTCGTGGTCCTCTTTGATCCAATGAGCCTCTTTTGTTTGAATTAATTTTTGAAATTCATCACTCTGTTTTGTTTTGATTTTTAAAATTCACATTTTAAAAAATTGTACTTTTTTATTTTTCTTTTTTCTTTTTTGTTTTCACTGATTGTTTTAATATTTTAAGCATTTTTTGTAATTTTTAGACACACTTAACATAAATATACTTAAAAGGTATAATATTTATGAAAAAAATCTTAAAAAAAATAAAAATTCATCTAAAAATTTTTAAAAAATAAAAATTCAGTACATTTTTTTTTGTATTTTTATGTATTTATTAATTTTTTAAAATATTTTTTCACAAATATTTTATTTTTTATACATCTAAATAAGGTGCATCTAAAAAATTAAAATAATTACTTAAAATTTTAAAAATATTCACTAAAAATAAAAAAAAAAACACGAAAAATAAAAAACTTAATTTTCAAAAAATTAAATTAAAATTCAGTACATTTTTTTTTGTATTTTTATGTATTTATTAATTTTTTAAAATATTTTTTCACAAATATTTTATTTTTTATACATCTAAATAAGGTGCATCTAAAAAATTAAAATAATTGCTTAAAATTTTAAAAATATTCACTAAAAATAAAAAAAAAACACGAAAAATAAAAAAATTAATTTTCAAAAAATTAAATTTAAAAAATTGAAACCAAACACACTTAATAAATTAGATTCTCTCCTGTTCAATAATTCAATTGGACTTTGCAATCTAACTTATTGCGAACCTATTTTGGCCTCGTCTAGATAACATAAATTGTTTATTTTATAAAATTTATTAAAAATATAATATATATCAATAATTATGTTAATTGAATATCGAGAATTATTTGATCGGATCACGTTTGTCTGAAAATATGTAACGGATTATTTTTAAAATTATGTTGTCTATTAATTATTTTTTAGACAAATGTAATATGATGAAATAGTTTCTAATATTTGTTGTCTATTAATTATTTTTTAGACAAATGTAATATGATGAAATAGTTTCTAATATTCGATCAATTTGAATTTTGATATGCATGATTTATTCGAATGACCTTATAAAATGAATAATTTAAATTATCAAGACGAATCTAAAATAGACTCATACTGGACGGGACTAGATGGTCGAGTCTGATATTCCAACTAAGGAAAATTCCATACCATTTTAAAAAAAAATTTGGTTTGATTTTTTTAAAATTATTTTTAAACAATTTTTTAAATTTATTTTTATTGAATTTTTTTATTTATATTTTAATTATTTGTTAAAGTTTTTAGAAGCATTTAGATCCATAGCATTTAAAAAATTAAATTGAAATATGAAAAAATTTACTAAAAATAAATAAAAAAATCATTCAAAAATATTTTAAAAAACAAACCAAGTTTTTTGTTTTGTTTTGTTTTTTTTTTTAATTTTTCAAGTAGATTGTTTGCCTAGGCCCATACTCCCAATACCTTGACACTTTCCCAAAACCATTACACATTGGGCTTGGATGCGTAGCCCAATATTACATTAATATAAAAAAAAAAAAATTTGAAAACCATTTTTGTGTTGAGCCGTTTGGGCCAATAAAAATATTTGAAAAACACAAAAATAAAAAAATAAAACAATTGTGGTACGGTACCTTAATCTTTTGTTTTTTTTTAATTTTTTTTTATAGAAAGGACGGTACCCTAATCTGTAATGGTAAACCAAATTGACAATGTAAATTTTCCTAAAATTGAAGATGGAATTATTATTATTATTATTATTATTATTATAATATTTTGAGTAATTACGTGTAAGTCCTAATAAGTGAATTTATTATCTAATAGGTCTTATGAAAAAATTTGTCATAAAAAAAGTCACTAATTATAAGTTTTAGCGACAATTTATAAAAATCATAACAAAAAAAAGTCACTAATTATCAATTTTTAGCGACATATAAAAATTATCACAAAAAAATTATTTTTAGCGACAATTTTACCAAGACTTATTTCAATAGGACTTAATGGGAATTAAGTCTAACTATTAGGACCTATTGGTAGTTTATCCTTATTTTTGGGGGGGAGGAGGGGAATTCTGAGTTATAAAAAAAAAAAAAAATCAATTTTATATCATGCATCTCACAATTGAATTAATTTTCACAAAGTTTGACTTTTCTCATATTCACATCTCAATTTAAAATTCAAAAGGGCCCGTGGGACCAACCACTAGTCTCATTTCAATGATCTAAGTTGTTAATTTTGTAAGGTCCTTAACGTATATTATACATAAAAAATTATTTCAATCTGACAATCGCAACCTTTCGTTTTATTGTATTTGTAACTTAAAAAATGGATGGCAAATACATTTTTAAAAATAGACTATCAATTTTTTAGAGATAAATATGACAAAATAAAAATTTTACGATTATTGAATGGATATCATTTTTTTATGAATGATATATATTGAGGATCTTACAAATTGAACTGTTCGAATAATCGAAACGGAACTCGTGATGAGTACCATGAACTCCTTATATATTTTCATTTGATATATACATATGAGGGAAACCCAACTCTTTTTGAAAATCAAAGTTGGTGTTTGGTTTAGTTTTGGACTCGTAGTTCCAATAAAAAAATTTCAAAACTCATAATCAAATACATAACTCAAAACTCAATTAAAAATTATTTTTAAAACTTATAACCAAACACACAATTCAAAATTCATTTCAAAATTCTATGTGAAAAATCAATTTTTTTAATTTTTCTTTTTAAAATTATTTTTAAAATCACGATTTGAGTGTGGAATCATATTTTGAGTTATGAGTTTTGAAAAGAAAAAATTTGTTTGTTTATGAGTTTTAAAAAGAGTTTTGAGTTGTATTTTGAAATTTTTTAGATTTATATTTTTAAATATTTAAAAAAAATTAATTTAATTTTTTGGAGTAAATATTTTATATTTTAAATATTTATTTATGTATTTTAATGTGTACTGTATTTCATACATTTGTATGTTGTATTTAAAAAAAAATGTTGTAAATATTTTTAAAATTTATAAAAATTTATTTTTTTAATTTTAAATATGTAATTTTTATTTTAAATACTTTATTTTATTTGATAAAAATATTTCTAAATATTTTATTTAGAAAAAAATTGAATCGCCATATATATATATATATATATCTATATCATAACAAATTATTTGGCCAATACTTAAAAAAAAAGGGATAAATTACAAATACACTCCCTGAGGTTTGCTTAAATATGAATTGTCCCCTGCGGTTTGAAAGATTACAAATACCTCCCAGTCAGGATTTTTTATTTAACAGAATTAATTGAAAAAGTAAAATTTCTAACTGTTTACCTATACAATAATAAAATTATCTGAATTATTAATTGAAATATAATTTTGACACTATTAAAAACTATTAATTAACTTGATAATTTATTAATAAAAGTATCTATTTGTTATGAAATTAGAAATCTTAGGGGGCATAATGTAATTTCTAAAACCACATGGGATAATTTGTAATTTAAGTAAACCTTAAGGGGTCAAGGGGTGTGTTTGTAATTTACCCTAAAAATAATAACAAAAATTATAGTTTGAAAAAATAAAAAGATATTTTTCTTAAAAAAAAAAATGTTTTCAAAAAAATGTAAAATAAAAAATAATTTTAAAGAACAAAAAAAATATTTTTTGAAATTTTTTAATAGAATTTTGGAAAAGAATTTGATTATGAGTTTTGAAAAAAAAAAATTGAATTGAGTTTTGAATTATGTGTTTAGTTATGATTCAAGTGTGGAGTTGTATTTTGAGTTTAAATATTAAAAATTTAAGAATAAAATAAAATATTTAAAATAAAAAAATATTTAAATAAAAATTATAGATTTAAAATAAAGAAATAAATTTTTTTAAAGCATTTTTAAATATTTAAAAAATAAATTCAAAAAATTTCAAAATACAACTCAAAACTTTTTTTAAAACTCAAAATTTTTTTTTTTAATTCAAAATTCAAAAACTCAAAATTCATAACTAAACAAATTTTTTCTTTTCAAAACTTAATTCACAATTTCACACTCAAATCATAATTTTAAAACTAAACCAAATAGAATCAAAATATATAATTTTTGAATGGCTTTTTCTATGAGCCCCTATATGTGAATTGTTTTTTTTTTAAAAAAAAATTATAAAACTATGAATATTTTAAATTTTTTTTATGAATAACCTAGGATTGGTGGTAACGTACGTGTTCGTGCAGCATATCCTATGAAATCAGTGCACCATATAGCCAGCCAGCCAACCAGAGATTGTCCTATCATCGTAGGGTCCATGTCATACTAATCTTTGTCATGTTTGTTTGGGCGGATTAGATTAGCATTTTCATGACTAATAGTCTTAGGAATACCAATCCGTTGGATTATGTCAAAACTTTTTTTAAAACTCAAATTTTTTTTTTAATTCAAAATTCAAAAACTCAAAATTCATAACTAAACAAATTTTTTCTTTTCAAAACTTAATTCACAATTTCACACTCAAATCATAATTTTAAAAGTAAA